CCATCCAAGTGACAACCTTATGGCCAAGAAGTCACGAAAATCCAGATATACGTGGAAACATTTTTATGTTTGATGGGTGGGTTTCCTATGGCAAAATGTACCAAAAAAGTTGCAAGGATGAAAGAAAAATCCCTGGAGAATAAGTAACTCCAGATTGTGAGCAAAGATGGTATTTCCAGTTTTGTTCCTTCATTGTTTCCTGATACTTCCCCAGCTTCTCCATGGCAGACAGATTATTAAGATAGGAACATGAAAAAAAATTAAGATGGGATTGTGCTACAAAAAGCAGAAATATTGAGACATGTTACATTGTTATATGACTTACTATCATTCTACAATGAGGTGGGCTTGCAATGCTGCCCTACTTGCTTTTTTGCTATGTTGGCATGGTGAGGTGATACGTTTCTGTATCCCCCATTTTACACCAGAATTCTTAATGGCTAGGGGCACCGTGGTAGTGATAACAGGGTGGAAAAATAAAGCAGAGAGAGCCCAAACAATAACCAGTCTTACCACTAGAAGATTCCCCAGGGGAAAGGATGTCAACATATAAGATTTATTTTAAAGAATAAAGAGAAGGCTTAATTAACAGGAAGGAAGAAGTGTGAAACCTACATCTTGATTCTGAGAATATAAGAGAAGAGTCATTGACTAGGTGTTGAACTTGGCAGGTACCTTATGCAAATGGTAGCCATCATGGCTTTAGTACTGATACATCGAAGCAACCCCTACATGTTAAAATCCAACAGGTTCCCCACAACAGTCTATCAATTATAACAAGGCTCTCCAGAACAATTCTCCCTATATGTGCCGAACATACAGTAAATAGTTGCCTACTCTTCACTGGTTGGTCCCTTAACAGGTAAGATAAGCACTGTCGTTTGTATTGAAATACAGTTCTGACCAGAAAAGATTTCTGTTCTCTAACAATTTTTCTATTTATCACCTACTTTATTATCTTTTATTAAATAAACTCTGCTTTTTTTCAGCAGTATTCATTCATGAATCTGATGTATCCCTGGGCAAAGTAGAAGATATAGCACCATTCTCTCTGAGGGCTTCACTGTGGGGAGGGAACCTGCTGCACACATCATTCCTCACCTTGGTCCTGAACAAAGCCTTCCTCTCTTTCATTTCATCATTAGAAGGTGGGTTACTTTCTTCTCAAAACCGCTGAGTTTTAAGACTGAAGGCAGCTGAGTGGAGGATGTGGGTCTCATATTAAGCATTACAAAGAGCTAGGCTCACCTTGAGTCTCAGAGTACAATTTATCATCTGTTTCATGAATCAAGGCTATAGTCTGCTTTACTACAGAAGTAATAGCATCAGAATGGACAACATATTACTTAAAAATTTTAGGTTATGCTGGGCACAAGGTGTTTGTGAGACAAACTCTTTAATAAAAATATCTGACAGGCTCTTCTATTAGAATGACTGCTTATGGCTATCCACATCTAATATTGGCTGTAGAGAACATTAAAATGTCTTTCGCCAATTTTAGAGGGATGGGCTGCAAGAGAAGATAGATTACTTCAGATTCTTTAAAAAGTCTTTTCACTGATACACAAACAAATGTCAGGCATAAAAAAAAATGCCGAGCTATATATAAATTCAAATGTATTAGTGTTGAATCGGTTCAATCACACAATAGCATATTTATGACAGAATGAATTAAAAAATAATAAATATATTTTTTATACATTAGAGCATTGAAGCCTTTATCTTTTGTAAATATCTTAATACTGGGAATAGACATAGATTTAGGTTATTAATATCTTTTAACACATTTGGAAAGACACTATTTTTTCTTTATATAAAAACATATTTTCATTTTTTAATGGGAAACAAATTCACCTCAGTACATGTTTGTGTGTATATATATAGCATATATATTATGTATATAATATGTACATATATTATTCCAATGTTTTAAAATACTGGCAAAGTAATGGGGATTCACTTTCTCCAAAGTTAATTTCTTTTCATTACTATATAATCCTAACACCAATAATCACTAATAAGGAATATCCTACTTTGAGCACAGTGGCGATGAACAGCTGATATTTTCTTTTTCTAATTGTTCCCTGCTAAGATAGAGATCACTTTAAAATGGGCAAAAAACTGACAGGAAGGATTACCAATTGCATTCACACATCCCCCCCACCCTAGGACAAGAGGTCCCTGTACTCTGCAAACTCTAACAGTAACCTCCATCCAGAACACTACCAAGATTCTGGTCCTTTGCTCTCACTGGTCCTTTGCTTTATCAGGTTCCCTGGAATCTTCGGTAAAACACTTAAAGCATCAGTTATTATGGTTATTTGGTATTGTTTTTTTAAGAAACAAAGAATTATCAAAAAACGTAAAACAAAAGTAGTAAGGTTAGAAAGTTCCCTTTTGTACTCTGTCTAAAATGATCATCACTCTCTGAGAATGCCCCTGGTTATTCAGAGTAAATAGACTTCTTGTTTATTCACAAGGGTGAATACTTTGTTCCCTGAGCAACTGCAATGGAACACTCATTTATAAAGTACAGCCGACTGGAAAAGGCTGGGTATGGGGTGTAAGTAGTTAACTTCTTTCTTAAATGCTCCTGGTACTGACAATGATGGGTATACAAACCTCTTCTGATTCCGGATCAGCCAGCATTTTTTACTACATATCAAGTGAATTCTAACAGTGAACAGTAAAAGCATCAATAATGTGTGAGTCCCCACCGTATGATATAATAGCTAACCTCCTGGAGGTATTAATTACATCCCTATTGCTACTTCCCTGTGATCTGAATCCATTTCTTTTTTTCACATAGAAAATTTACTTTACAACTCTCTGCATTAGGTCCACTTTGTTGCCCTAAAGCAATATCCTGGTTGAGAATAGACTGGAGGATTCACACAGGAGGCTGCCAACCTATAAAGAACACAGACTGTGAAATTTGGTTCTAAAAATAAAGATCAATATGGTCTAAAGACATGTTTAGCTAATGAAAAGGATCTTTGCTTCAATTCAGAAAAGTGATAATTTTCTCCTAAATCATACAGAGACAATAAAACACCAGGGCATTCAGTCAAACCACACAGCATGACTGGGTTTGTAACCATTGCTTTTTGCTACTGGGATCCTCTGGTACTCACCTTCATCCACTCCAAAACTATCTCCTGGAATCTTGAATATAAAGAAAATGACAAAATGACAACATTTTCCCCAAAAATTATTCTTCTGAAAAGAGGGTTTTGCCTTGTTTTCTGGTCTTTCCAAATATTCTCATATTTTTTTCAGATTCCTCTCCTATTCACTTTATTTTAATAGCCAAAATACTGCTTGGAAAAGTGACACTGGCCTGAAACACCTTCGTAAACACTAGTTTTGGGGGCTGTAGAGAGGGACACCTGTCAGGATAGGTAAAATAAAGGTTTTAAAAAATTTTTTCCACATACGGATGTAGTTCTAAACAAGACTTAAAAAGAAACTTCTAATGCATTGCAATTAGTTCCCAGAGATCCCCAAACATACAACTACAAATAGAATTTTTGAAAACATTGTTTGAAGGCATGAATGAGTTCTTGTGTTTGAGACAACATTTCCTGAGACAGCAACAATCATAGATTCAAAAAGTACTGTATCAAAACATTCAGATGGAAGTAAAAATAACTGGCTCTGGAAAACTGGTAAACTCTAAATGTGCTGTGCTGATAACAAAACTCCGAAGGCCAAAGGCACATGGGAAAGGAGTGAATTAAGTATTTTCATAAATTATAAGTTTTAAAAGAAAGGAACATTTCTAACTCAATATGAGACTCTCAACATTTGCAACTAAATTAATGAATGTTAGAAGTAGTCATCCAAGTATTTCATCTACAACCCCCCAAATTCATTTATTCATACTGGCCCAAATACCATTTTTGGATCTTCTCCCTCGGTATTTCCATAAGAACATCATCATCCTATTTCTCGTGGTTTATACAGTAGTGATTTCTATTGGTTCATTTTTTGAGGGAGGGTGAAGAGAACTCCTTTAAAAAAATAAGTTTATATTCCCCGTCATTTTTTTCCATCATTTTTTGTAATAGAAAGTGCTTAAAATTAAAATTCTCTTTTCCAAAGTTTGATCTTCCTCATCCTCAAGCTGGAAAGTTCAGAAGCTACTATCATATAACTTTCTGTCTTGAAAAGAGTAGACCACATTCTAAAAATAGGACATGAAGTAAGTCTTACAATACCTCGCCCATGCATAAAATCTGTACATTCTTTTTTGTATACCTGGTATTCTTTGTATTTATCAATTTGCTTGAAAATAGCATTTGTCACATAGGTGTCTCCACTGTTAGTATAATGGGTTAATTTGGCAATAAGAGGAGAGTCACCCTCCGATCAGACATTGGAATGCCTGTATTACTTTCCTCACAGTCAAGCATAACTCAGCACAAAGCATGTCTGTTCTCGCCTCTGTCTTAAAAGTTCAAGTTAGCGAAGCATCAAGAGAAATTTTGTGTAAGACCATGTCAATTGCAAAGTGGTTCCATGGCCAAGACTTTGGTTATTGTTTCAGACCAGTACCAGCTAGATGGGCTTTCATGCTTAAATTTATGAATATCCACAACCTCTTACATGGTGAAGAATGAAAAGCTCACAGCACAGAGCACCGCCAAGGAGTGAAGGCAGGAGGTCCAACCTATCTTTTGAGGTACTATGGTAAATTTTCTCAGAGAATTAACTTAACAAATAAAGAATCCGTGGCACTAATAATCCACAAATATATTTGAAAGTCAACTTGACTAGTACATTATCTAATCATAGTAAAATTATTTGAAAAAATAATTTTGTGAAAAACGTTAAGTGAAAAAACTGTTGACTGCATCTTTTTTCTTCTTCTATCACTCTATTTGAAAGAGCATGATTGCTTGTATAGGCTTCCACTTACTAAAACATTTTGCTTTGCCATCAGATCATTTCAAAACAGGAAATAAGTAAAAAGAAAAATGAATTAAAGATGTTTATACCTGAGAAATCTGCTGCTAAGAGATCTACTGCCTTTAAAACCTTCACTTGTAAAATGCCGATGTCTTTCATATCTTTCAGGGAATTCTGTAAGCACTGAGGGGGAGAAAAGTAGATCATACATGAAAATAGCTTTCTAATATACTACTTAATGCCATAAAGTCCTGTAGGAAGTACATTCTAGATTTATCATCACCTTTCTCGTGCAAAGTTTAGTAAAGTTCCAGAGTACATTATATCAGCCAATGGGATACTTAGGCATTCACAACAACCAGATTAAAAGTGACTGAGAATTAACTACAGCTTCAAAATAAGCCAATTACAAAGCACACAGAATCTACTTTTAACACTGCCCCCTGGTGATAGAACAGATATCCCATGGGGAAAACGTGTGTGGAGCTCCATTCATTCTCTTTTCCCCTTTCTTTCTCTTGAATGAAACTTTTAAATCACTCAAAAAGGCCACACTATTCTGACCTCATTAGTACAAACTTTAGGGATACCAGAGGGCTCAACTTGGACCCTTCACAGATACTTATTACCACTGGAAAGAGCGTTAAGGATGGAAATACAGTGCATTTTCTGGTCCACGTTTTAGCCCGCTCGTTAGAGACTGAGCATCTAGTATCACCCTGTATTCACATTTATTTGATTTTTTTTAGTTTGCATGAGCCAATGCTTGAATGTATCTACTGATAATTCTTAAGCATGCAGAACGATAGTTTGCTGTGTATATACATTGCATCCTTCAGAAATGGTGCATGAAAGAGACAAGCAGATAAACTATTTCTGCATGCCTCCAGAACACACCTGCTGAAAAGATTCTGCTTTCAAACTTTTGGATATCATATTTCCGCTATCATTGGATAACTAAAAACCTGTGATAAGTAGGCCTTGGGGATTTATGGGGAGACAGTAAAATCCTCGCTCTTTAGGCATTTCAGGATACAATAATAACAACTTAATAATAGTTCAGGTTTAACTAACTTCATATGCACCATTTCTAGGCAGTTTTGAAAGTTGTTTCTGCTGTGTATTTTCAACCTAACAGAGCAAAGCAAAACAAAAACAAAAAACTAGTTTACACTAATCTGAAAACATCTGAAATAAAATACTTTTATAGTTTAAATGTGGACATGCCTTCAAGATGATCTATTCTTACAAGCTAAAAAACAAGAGGTCTGAAACTTGTGTTTTATGATGGGGCATTCTTTCCCTCTAAGATGCTGGCCAGCTCTCTAGCTGAAAAAACAAAACAAAAAACTTGATATTTCTATTTGGAGTGGCTTCTTCAAACCTATTTTCCCTGACTACTCCTCACATCCTGAAGCATGATTCAAAGCAGTCATTATGATCTTATCTAAAATCACCTTATAAATATAGGACACCCCTCGTGAATTTGTAAATTTTTCAATTCGTCCATGGGAAAGTTTGGGGAGAAATTTTAAGGTTGATCATCAAATTTTTATTTGCTTAACTCCAGTCATCAGAGAGACTAATAATAGTGGATTTTGTAGAAACTCCTTTGGGGCACGCCAACCGGGCCATGCAGAGTTTGTGTTGACAATAAGACGTGTGTCTAGGTTTTTGTACAGCCGCAGATAAAGAATTATTCAATTAATCAATACGCCTCACAGTGAAGGATTTGGGAGGCACTAAAGTTTATGCTGAGAATAATATTCCCATTAAATAGGGATTCATCTTTGCTTCATTTTCGGGCCGCTTTCTAAAACATGCCTTTCGTGTGTGGCCATAAAATAAACGTATTGATTTACAAAGAAGGTGGATAAAAACAGAATGCAAATAAGGGCACCTAGAAAGACAGAGTACAAAAAATAAATGAAGATCGCAAAGCCATTTGATATAAAAATGCTGAGTGGACTTTTAAGCGCATTGCACTACTTAGGCAAAAATCAGGAACTGCCTTTATTATCCAGAGTAGTATGTAACAGCTTTGCATAGCTGTCCAGGGTTTTGCTTTGCTTTGCTTTACAAGACAGAAGCACGTTCTCACTTAGGCCTGAGAGGTTCTGGAAAGGTAGCTCTAACATTTCAAATATTATGGCTAATAAAGAAATAAACTTTTGTGAACTTGTATTAAAATTCCAATATACATATGCAGACATGCTAAACAAGTCTGCCTCCTCGTGGATTTCCATTTTCTCCAAAGAGTTTCTGAAAGCTAAAAATTCAAAATACCATTTTGGGCTTTGAAAATCGCCAGCTCTATCCAATCTACTTTCACCTTCTCGTTAATGCATTAACCTCTGGATCCAATGTCTTGTTTTATGAGACATGCCATGAAACTTTGGACAGGATCTCTTTTCGGGCAGTTTTTTTTTTTTTTTTTATCTTTTAATTCACAGACTTTGTTTCAACTCAAAAGTGGAGGTGGCGGTGGGCAGCAAAACAAGGCCAAGCACTCACATATCGCTGGGCAATCTGCTTTCTTTCGCAGGGGTCTGCCAAGGGGCACACGCACAGATCTGAGACCGAGACTCCGGCACAGGGAGTAAGTGTGATCAACATCAGGAGAGCCCCCAGGCAGCTCTCCAGAGGCAGCTCCAAGCGGTTGGCTTGCTTGAGCGGCAGGGCCGCGATATCCACTTTGCACCTGGGAAAGTTGGAGGAATCAGAGAAACAGAAGGGATTAACTCATGGCCACTCCTGAACCTCCAAAGCACCTGATTTGTATCTCCTCATCCCCCCAAACTTCACTCTGTCTCAGCATGGGTTTCTCGCACAACGAAGGTGGTGGGGGCTCCCCCCCGCCCCGGCACCCAGCTCTTAATTCTCCCTCCCAGCCTAACACACTCTAAGATTAAGGAGACAAAGAGGTAAAGAAACCAAAGAGAAGGCAGCACGGAGGGGATGGTAAGTGCAAAGAGAAGAGTCGGCTCTTTGCCCCCGTGAGGTCTGCAGAAAGGCGGTGAGCTCAAGAAATAGGGAGAAAAAAGTTCCAAGTTCAAGCATTATGGATGAGGGATCTGTACGGCTTCTCTGTATTGTGTCTTTTGCCAACAAAGAGAATAAAGGGTCACGGTTCAAAAAGGGAAGAAAAGACAAGAGAAATTCAAGTGGCAAAGGGTTCATTGGAGAAACTATTTTCTTCCAGATTAATGCCAACTGGTGAGTTTTTATTTAAAGCAACGAACGTGTTAAGGTGTTTTCCTAATAGGCACGGTGCCACAGGGTTTCCCCAGGTGGATTGCTTCTGGACAAATGGAGCATGAAGTGCTGTTGATTGATCCCATTTCAGCAACACTGCCAGGAAAAGGCTTCACCCATCTGCTATAAATTGCATGTTTTCCATCTCTTAACAGCCAATGTTCTGGCGATGTTGAAAACCTCAAACACATTTATATACAGAAACAAACACCAAAAAGGAGGGCTGAGGTGCTAAGCCATGGATTTGCTTTAACACTGAAAACTCTGGGTTTGCCTGGACCACACCTGCTTTGTTTACGCACAGGTGGGCGGAAAAGGTAGGGTTGTGTCAAGGGAGGGAGAGTAGGTAGTGGTTGTTCCCAGCTGTGATACCTGTGTGTGCCTGTGTGTGTAATTCCCATTTTCCCTCCATCGTTATTGAAGGAGATGAATATTCAAGACTTTATAAAGGGAGAACTGCCTCTCACAATGTAGGATGAGGATGGATTCTCACCCTAAATCTTCAATGGACTTTGTATGTTTGCAGATATTTAAAAATAGGTAATTTTACCTAACATATGCAACAAGGACAATTTTGAGCCACATGGTATCTAATGAGTTCCAGTTTAATACATCTGAAACCTTGCAATCCCTTCCCAATTAAAGAGAAAAACTATCCATAATATCAAGAATCTATACCAGTTTTTACTATAGAATAAAATATATTTTAATATTGATATGTACCTATAAAATTAAATGTGTATTTATTTCCTAATTACCAAAAGTGATTCCAGTTATAAGAGGTGGCAAATTAGAGCTTTTGCATGTAATAAATTCATCAAGAATTTCTACCAGAGACACATCACAAAAAATATATCTTTTTAAATAATCCTCTCTGCTTTGAATCAAAACATTTTTTGTGTGTGTAGCAATAAAGAACCTTTTAAAGTTTGCTACCATGAAAATAGGGATTACTAAATACTTTTTTTTTTATTTCATGAGCATGTATGTAAGTAAGGAATTAATTTTGCTTGGAAAGAAAGAAATGTCACATGCTTTAAGCCAATTCTACAAAACTAAATACCCACAAATTCTTAACCAATATAGCAATAGCACATCTGCTTGGGAACACTTTGCTAAGCATTATTTTACATCGTTATATACACCTTCACTGAACAAAGCTCTTTCTTACAGAAAGATAAATGATCCAAATTTGTAAGAATTTTTTTCTGGTGGTCACTTTCATTAGTCCAAATGAGCAATAACCTATTTATGGCAAAATCACCTTAATATCATTAGTAATGACAATTTATTTTCATCCTTTGAGTTCCACCTTTCTGTTGTAGTGGTGGTTTTAACAACCAGAAGTTACTTGGAGATAAGAGACAAATAATGTTTGGGAGTTGAAAATGATGCACACGGTAAATTTCTCTTGGATAATTCAAAATGAACCTTATGTTAATTCTAAAAAGTCATCTAAAAAGACTGTGAGCAATATTAGCATTTTTACAATAACTATGCACACACTCTCCCAGTGCCTGTTTCAAGGCACAACTCGTCAGAATAGAGCAGTTGATTATTTTAAACAAAAGTTGAATCACGTACCAGACAAAATGCAAAGTAAACACTGGGTTTTGTCTTAGAAATTACACATTTCCACAAACTTTTTCGTCATGTCTCTCTCCTACGAAACTTTTGCACCTATCCCATTTCTAAAGACTATTAGGATGGAAGAAAGAACACCTGCATGAAAACAGCCCTGCCTATTTTAGATAAAACAATCTCCACAAACAATAGATTGGGGATTTCTGCACGAACCTAATGGATTCTACATGCTCAGTTAACTAATGAGTGGATCCAGTCAAATATTTTTACTTCCATAGTGACTTGAAAGAACAAATCAAACTGAAAGATTGCCATCATGTCAATCATAATTAAACGTTGATCCTTTTGCACGTGGGTTATGACCCAGGCTCCTAGGGTACCTGCCCCATTATGGGAATTGATATCTTAAGAATTAAGGATTAATTTACAGCTACCCTCTCCCTAGTGTGAACAACCAACTCTCCTCTAAAGATGGCATTTTTTTTGTTCTGTTTTGGTTTTTGTTTTTTTTGTAGGCTTCATACAGAATGTGGGGCTTGAACCTACAACCCTGAGATCAATGGTCACGTGCTCTACCAACTAAGCCAGACAGGCACCCCCTCTAAGGATGACTTTCTATAAACTTTCTACAACTGAATTACCCTCTGCTTCTCACCTACCCACCTGGCTTCCACATTTACTCCCACACTCTGGAAGAAAGGAGGAAAGCTGGAAGTAAGAAGAAATGAATTCCATACAAGAACCTGTCCTCCAGGCCTCCCATTTTACCCTATTTTAATCTCAGTCCACATTGTTCTAGCTCATCCTCATGTCTGAAGGAAAACCAGAAGCTCTGGAGGTTAGCCAGAGGCTGGAAGAATTATTTATATTAACTCCAGGCTAGGAAAAGGTACTGCGTTATCGGCAAACGCAGAAGAAATAAAGAGGATTTGTCTCATGCAAACTGGTGCAGCCACTGTGGAAAACAGTGTGAAGGTTCCTCAAAAAGGTAAAAAGAGAACTACCTTATGATCCAGCAATTGCACTACTGAGTATTTACCCAAAGAATACAAGAACACTCATTCAAAGGGATACATGCACCCCTGTGTTTAGAGCAGCATTATTTACAATAGCCAAGATATGGAAGCAGCCCAAGCGTCCACTGACTGATGAATAGAAAAAGATGATGTGGTATATATATGCAATGGAATATTAGCCATAAAGAATGAAATCTCGCCATTTGCAATGGCATGGATGTTGCTACACAGTATAATGTTAAGTGAAAGAAGTCAGTCGGAGAAAGACAAATATACAATTTCACTCATATGTGGAATTTAAGAAACAAAACAACCAACCAAAGGGAAAAAGAGTGACAAACCAAGAAACAGACTCTCGACTGTAGAGAACACACTGCTGGTCACCAGAGGGGAGGTGAGTGGGGGGATGGGGGAAACAGGTGATGGGGATGAAGGAGTGCACTTGTGATGAGCACAGGGTGATGTATGGAAGTGTTGAATCACTATATTTTACACCTGACACAACTATAACACTATGTCAACTCACTGGAATTAAAATAAAAACTTAGAAAAATAAAAATAAAAAATACAAAGGATTTGTCTTTCAGAATTTCTGATGTTATCACCGTAATACTCACTGAACCTCCTGAAGAAAGGTAAGTATTGTGTGAACAAAATATCCTTTTTTGAGGTTCAAGATAAGTACTCTAAAGTCTAAAATCTTTATGATATAAGAGATAATCTGAAATACATCCATTGAAGACATTTTTAATACAAAAATTTGGAAAGGAGAATTTAGGTTGTGTCTTCCACTTAGGGTATCAAATTCCGCCCTGAGAAAATACTAAATGATTTAGTTGGTCCCTTAATTCTCTCTTGGTGGTACTGACTCACTACAGAATCAGTTGTTCTTTCCCAAGGCTTTATCTGTTTAGTTACTTGTTATGGGCGGAGTGCAGGATGAGCCTCTGAGAACACTAGGAGAACAGATTCAGCCCAGGTTCAGGGGCAAATTAAAACACCACCTACTCCTTCCTTCTTTCTCATTCCAATAAACACCACGGATTCACTAATTCCATAATTTTACAAGTGGTGTTATGTATTTGTTTTCCTTCCATTTTGCATCCTCTAAATTTCTTCCCAAACTCTACACAAATGGCAGCCTTTTAGAAGCATTTATGAAAGCTGAGCTTACTAGTGTATATGCAAATTTTCATTGAAAAATAATACAGCAATAGCTACATTTTATCCGTTTTAAGGTATATGGTCTAAACGGCTCTCATCATGAATTTTTCAATTATCACATCAATTAATAAATAAATAATAGGTACTTAAACTATTTTTTTCTACAAAGGGCCATAAAGCAATTTAAAGTTGATGGGCCATGTGGTCTCTGTTGAAACTACTCAAGTCCCCTTGTATCATGAAAGCAGTAATAGACAACATAAACAAACAAGGCTGTTATCCAATCCTTTATTCAAAAACAGGCAGCCATCTGGATTTGGCCCATGGGCCCTAGTTTGCTGACCCCTGATCTGGAGACATGTTAATAATCTGGCTGTGGCGAATTACATCCATGTTAGCATCTTAAAAATTTACAAGGTTGGTTGCTGACAATACAAACACATTGACAAAAGCATCAGGGAAACTGACCTAAAAATAATTTTGAAAGCATAACCTTTTAATTCTTTTTTATTTAAGAAATCCCTAGACCCCACATGGGACTTGAACTCACGACCCCAAGATCAAGAGTCACATGCTCTTCCAACTGAGCCAGCCAGGCGCCCCTGAAGCATAGCTTTTAACTCCCCATAGCCCAAGAAACTCTGGCCAACATATCCAATGATGCACTGAATAAAAACCGATA